CGCCTAGTCTTGATAAATGTGATACCTAGAATTGGCTATAAGTAAAAATTACATGATAACAGTGTTCTTTACCAAAAGATTAAAGATTTCTTTTTCTTTAATACAAGTTTCCGTTGTAGCTAAGTCGGCACTTTTCGTTATGGGCAACACAAATGGTAAATCTTGATTTTGATTTATTTGAGATTCACTTGAAGAGTTGCTTTGCTTTTGTATCCACGCTAGAATTTGTTTGTTTTGCTCTTTAATGCAAGAAAACAAATCGATAATTGTTTCATCGGTCAGTGCTCTTCGTTTTTTACCTTTTAATTTTAAATTAAATTATGTAGGTACCTATACACAAATTTAATTTACCTGTTGATGGATTAGATTGGAAGGAAGACCCTTGTTGTTCTTCTAGAATGTATTTTGTGTTTAGAGTTCAATAAACGAAAAAATTTATTTATATTACCTATTAATGTAATTGTGGACGATGCAGAGGAACAGGATCGACTTGATAGGGTGGATCTCGGAGTTGATAGTTCCTTATCTCTCAAAAAGGTTGAACTGTGTTGGGGGCTTAAATTGGACTGCACACTCCCTGAAAATTAACATTCGATTACATCACTAATGAATTTTATGTTACCTATGGATTTAGAAGTCTTAGATGAAGAGCGACGTAAGGGCAGAGATTCAGGATTCGTATCTAAAATTTGGTTCGAATTATAATTGTTTCTACCTACAAAAATGTTTATCAATACTAATTTGCCGCTTCATTTTTAATATTATAATTAACAAACCTTCGATTGAAATTCGAGGTGGTTTTGGAAGAATATTTTCTTCTTCTATGCTACAGTCACTCTCATCGACATCATCATATAACCTACGTGGGGCTACACGTTTCCGTTTACTTTTCTCGCATACAGAGGTGGTGCTTTTATTAGTAGTAGTTTGTTCGTGGTCTGTGGCTACATCCGATAGTTCTTCCGCCAATTTTATTTTTCTTTGTGCCGTATTATAGTCATCTGCAATGAAAAATTAAGTTTCAAACCAAACATTATCTTCGACTATTACCCGTTTCGAAAAATATTCGGGCCAATTTAGTATGTTGCCATTTATCTATTACAGGGAGTTCGCCTCGATGCAACGATTTATCGTAATCATATTGGGTTGTATAATTTGGCCAATAAGTGTGCTGTTTCGAAGGTGTGAGCCATTTATCAGATACAATGGCCACAAACCCTCTCTCTTCCTGGTCAAATTCAACACCAACATAAGCCATTAGTAATACTATACTGTATAAATTACAATTAGAATAAAAAGATTAGATAGGTTTACTTACACAAACACACGTCACAAACCAGCAAACTTGCTTTTTGCAGTTTAAATTCCACGTTATTTTTTGTGTAGATGCACTAATTCCCGCACAAGCACAAAAGAAAAAACGTGTAAAAAAAGCGCGCAAATTTAACATAACCTCAATTCTCATTGCAGTCTGCCATCGATGAAGCACTGTTGCCAGACTGCAAATTCGTTAAATTAGTGCAGCATTGCCAATTATAATACGTGAGTATATCAACCAATGGTATTAATAATCACAATTTTGCTTCTCGTAAAAGTACAATATGTAGTATCGATTATATCCAGTATCACTGATTTACTTAATAGATGAAAGTTTCAAAAAATATAAATTATGGGTCTGTTTCACGGCCTGATTATCACGTTGTAGTAACGTCAAAGTATGACGTAAAAATTGGTCTTTAAGATCACGTCAATATGACGTCCTTTATTGGTGGTTCGACGTCTTCGACGTAGTATCACCAATTTTTCACGTCATGAGGACGTCGTTTGCTTACTGGGNTGCAAAATGGCGCTACATTTGCTTTTATTCCAAGTGGCTATGTATCAAATTTTATTTAAATGCCCAATGGTTATATTTCTTCCAAACGTCCCAATCGCCCTTTGTAGGCACTTTCCTTACAATTCACTCTTAAGATATAAGGAATTATAACCGATCACGACAAGGGATCGAGGAGGAAGACTATGGTTAGTATAAATTAATTCCTTTCGTTGAGACGTTTCATTAGAGTACCATGAAGGATAAAAGTAGTTGCAATCCCCCATCCCGTTCTTTGGTAAGAGGACAAAAAGAACGGCAGTAGTTTGTAGTTGAGACCTTTAATTAGAATACAATGAGAGATAAAATTAAATTTGACCCCCTCCCGCCCCCCCTCACAGCCACCGTCCCTCACTGATCTCGAAAAAGAGTTGCACGGGAAAGTTTATACTTTGTACGAACCAATTTACTTCGACGACACCTTTCATTATAATACCATGAAGGGTAGAACATGTGTTTACCCCCCCCCCCCTTTTTTTTTCTTTGTGGGGCCCTTTTAGACAGCGAAATTTAATGGCCGTCTGGTACACCTTCAAGGTATAGGCTACCTACTGCACAAAATTCCAGGACCATTCTCCTAGAAGTAGTTCAAAACGGTGGAAGTGGGTCCGGACGGACGGACAAACCGCAAACAAGGGCACATTTTTTTTAATTCTTAAAAAAATGCGCTAAAAAAAGAATAAGGGAATGATGAAATGAAAGAGCAGGAAGGGATATAGTTCCGACGAGTGGAAGTGAAGGGAAAGAAATGAGAGTGATAACGATACACAACTAAGATGGAATGGAGGAGTTAAAAAATAAAATAGAAAATATGATAGATGAAAGGGGGGCTAATATTTGGGGGAAATTTTTGATGCCAGAACAAGTATTAAAGGAAAATGGGCAGAGATGGGAAGAGAAACACAATGTAGAAAATGAAAAGGTAAAGAGTGCAATCAAAAAGGGAGGTTGGGGAGTTTTTAACGGAAATATGGAGGGAGATAGGGACGGGCAATTCACATACTTGGGAGGAAGAGGGGGAAAGAAAAAAGAGGGGAATTAGAGGAGAAAGAAGTGAAAGAACAGAACAGAACAATGGTACAAAAAAAAAATGCAAAGAAAAAAGATGGAGAAACAGAAATAATACGAAGAGCAAATCATGGAAAAGGATTTTCGGAAGGTGACAAACAGAGGAAAACAGAAAAACAGAATAAGTGGGAGGGAAATACAATCAGGGTATTGACAGGAGCGCGACGCGTAAATCACGGAACCTCCACCCTCGACAGCAAAATCGGAACAGCAGCCCACGCCACAAAACACCCTAAAAAATGGAATCAACGGCAACGACACTGAACAAGACCATTGACCACCTAGTGGATGCCTTGCAGACCCTAAGAACAGCCGCCACCCCGACAGCGAGTTTCTTCGGCGACCAGCGATAAGACCCGGCCAAATTCTTCCAAGACATGCAGAGGCGGACATCCCTTCGCCATCTTGGAAGGAGGCAGCCGAAAAACAGTTACGTAAAGCAGCTGCAACGTGGTGGAAACCATATTCCCATTTCCAATATAATCGAAGAGGTGGCGCTCCTGGACGACCTCCTCCACCCCTGAGTAATACGCATACCACGACGCGCCAACCGCAGGACATCCAGGTCCGCCTTCCAGAATTATTTATTTCTCAAAATGGACGCCCACGCCAGAGACTACGTCCGCGAATGTTGGATCTGCGCCACAGCGAAGAGAGGCCCGGTACAGGCCCAGACAAGACGCCCACTCAAACCCACCCGAAACTGGGAATCAGTCTCGGTGGGCAGAATGAGCCCCTAAAACGCCCCACCCACAGGGTACCGCCAAATAGTTTACGGACCTCTTTAGCATGTGGATGGAGGAACTCTCGGTAAGAGTGGCATCGGGAACCAACGTTACCAACGTCTTGGAACAGGAGGTTTTCGCACGCTACGGCTTCCCGAGAACAGTAATCACAGACAACGGGCCCTAGTTTATCTCGGTCCCGTGGGAAATGGAGAAAAATCCACGTCAAGCGCCGTAACCAAAAAGTAAAGAAGGGACTCTGTACGCACTCCATAGAAAAGAGTCCCAGCGCCTGGGCAACCGTTCTGCTGATAGGGCTATTTAAAATGGTAATGCCGTACCAAAAGACATCTACATGTAAGCAATGCGAGAGTGGAAACATTACTGAAGAGGAAGAAGTACAACCGCGAAGGCAAGGTAAACTAAAAGAAGGAATAGCATTAGAAATGCTATAGAAGAAACTGCACGACCTCGGTCGGCGACACAAAGAACTAAAGTAATAAGGGCACAATTCCAATAGATCTCAATCCGGAATATCAAACGGTAAGGAAAATAATGTTACAAAATGGTGCACAAATAATGATTTTGTGATATTTTTGTTACTACAATTTTGTCCATTCACGAACGTGTCGTTTACCGTGAATGAAACAAAATCCTTGTGCATTTTTAATCTATCCCGTTCAGGTCAGACATGGAATAGACGATTTCATTGAGACGCTTTCGTTATTGAGCGCCTCTTTTCCACCCTTAATAGGTACCCCATTTTAGCTACAGCGCAAATTGCTAGGCAATAAACTCTTCACAATCACAATTTTGTCACAATTTCGTGGGGAAACAAATCATTTCTCACGGTTAGGAAATCGGAAGTATAATTATCATCTGTAACAATCGATTATGTTCCCACGTTTGTTTCGCACATGCTAATTATCGAGATGATACGCAGATTCATAAAAGTTCTGCGCCTGAAGCAGGAAGACTCCAAAACAAGAAGATAAAGAAATTACGATTTATTGTGTAAAGGTAAACAACCGTTGCAAAACTGTAGGTAGGCAACAGTAGTTCTCACACATTAACATGCCCTTTTTTTTTGAAAAATATTTTCTCGACATATACAACGTGGACTTGTAGATACCTTATAAATAAAGGCCTTGTTCGCTACAGTCGTGGATTTTCCGGGGGAGCTTTGGGGACGTGGCCCTGAGATCTGGGGACATTCCTGGCCATTCGTCTTAGCTTGGTTTATCTAAACCTGAAAATGTACTGAATAGCCACACGCTGTATCTTCGAAGATTACAATAATCTCGTGATATGTTACTAACCTACCTTCGCTATAAAGTAGATCAAAAACGGTAACTCGTCCTTAGTTCCCAGCAACCATGGTGCGCGCCTTTTTAAGGGTAACGCTCTTGCTCGCGTTTTCCGTGTCGATAGTTGAGCCTTTCTACCATTCTGTGGTAAGTAAACCTACAACAGTGCTCAACAAAGCATAACCGACCTTTAGGATGCAACGGTGGAGTTTTTAGAGCTTTCGAATTGCACCACGGAAGCCATCAACGAGAGATGCCTGCAATCGTCGGACGCCGACCGATACCAGGTCCACTTGCTGTGGTCGAGACTGATGTATTCGAACAGTAGAAGTTTAAAGTGCTACCTCGCGTGCATGTATACGAACGTTGAGTTCCTGAACCATCACGGCGAGTTCGACGGGAATATGATCGTGCAGGAAAACGATTACATCACTCTGGAGGAGATTCAGCTCTGCGACGACATTACCAGGTTTATAAAGGACAGATGCGAAAAGACCTTCGAGTTTTCCTATTGTCTTACGCACACTAACCACACGACTGTAAAATAGTGCACAAATGTAAATTTCTGCAATTATTTATTTTAAAATAAATTATTAATGATTTAAACCTCCAAGTTGCCGTCTGCAATTTTTTTTCTGCTGAATTTTCCCACGGATTTTCGGCTTCCGTGGTCCAATTTATCTTTTCGTTTCCCTTCAGCTTCCTGAAGGTGCTTGAACCTCTGCTGCTCCTTCGATAAATCATCCGTAGTAATTTATCATTCCCAATACTTGTCGTAGTGTAATGGGTATGAATTTTCAATTACACATAATGCTTTTTGACCAGGGTGCGAAGGAATAAAATTTTGTCGTTAACTGTATATAATGTATAATTAGGTTTTGTAAACGTATCATTTGTTGTAAGTTTAAATTTAAAATAGAGAGAATGTACTTTAGCTGAAGAAAGACTTGGCCGCGGGGAGAGAGAGAGAGAGGGAGAGAAACGGTAATCCTGAGGGCGAATGAAGTCGTTGTGGAACTCGCTTGGTAAGCGCAAGTTTTTAACGCGCGCCATTTTTGACGTTGCGAAATATTAAAAAAAGCGCCTAAAACTATTGTCGTTTTAGGACAATAATACTCAATCAAAAAGTGTAAATTAGAGCGACTGTATTTCAAGTTACTGCTAACTAACCGTCCGTTACAGTAGTCCTTAATTACTTATACTTTTCCTTCCATGGGTCGTGTGCCACCGCGATATCCCAAGGAACGGAAATCTTGCTTTTCGAAACAACATTTGCTGGCGTTGATCACGATTCCGTAGTTGGCGAGGAGTTGGAAGAGGAGTGTTTCGTGCTGTTATGCATCTTTTGAGGGGACCGTCATCAATGTACAGAGTGGTCAACTAAGAATGCGAGGTATTGTATCTGAGAATGTAACCATTGTAGAGGCTTGTGGTAAAAAAAATTATTACTAAAACGGCCACGAGCAAAACCTGGAAAATATTTTTAAATTTCTGAAATGACCGCTAGGGGGCGTAACTGCAATCTAGAATCTAAAAAAATGATGTTTCTGTGAATTTCGCTATATTAACCTAACAAAAAAGTCCGCCCTTTGAAGTTGACGATAATCTGAAGAATTTTTGTATGATAATTTTTCCTCTATCTCTAAAAATGAAGTGGTGGGGGGTATTCGAAGGTTTCCGTAAAGAACACCCTGTATCATCGAAACGGCTGAGTCGATTTAAACAAACTCGGGTTAGTTCAAAAGAACTATTCTTCAGCTATAAATATTGTACTATTTGAAGTTTTGTTAGTTTTACATATCACCGCTTGAGGGCTTTTTCGACATTTCGACAGAAATGGTTAATTTTCTCAAAAAAATTAAATGCATTGATTCGATTTTTTTAAAATTAAAAAGTAGCTAAATGATGCCTAAACAAGCTCGCGAAAACAGCATCTCGATATCATTTACGGCGGCATTAAAAGCTTCCTTTTTTAAATCAATCCAACTTAGCGCCACAAATTATATAACAAAAATAATTCCGTAAAAATTAACTTAAAAAATTAAAATTTTGAGGGAATAAAATATTCTTTGGTCTAAATTTTAGGTTAGGAACAAGATATCGAGATGCGGTTTTCGCGAGCTTGTTTAGGCATCATTTTAGCTACTTTTTCATGAAAAAAAAAACGAACCAGTGCATTTATTTTTTTTGAGAAAATTAACCATTTCTGTCGGAATGCCGAAAAAGCCCTCAAGCGGCGATATGTGAAACTAACAAAACTTCAAATATTATAATATTTGTAGCCGAATAATAACTCTTTTCAATTAACCCGAGTTTGTTCAAATCGACTCAGTCGTTTCGAAGATACATGGTGTTCTTTACGGAAACTTTTGAATACCCCCCACCACTTCATTTTTAGAGATACAGGAAAAATTGTCAAACAAAAAAGGTTCAGATTATCGTCGTCTTCAAAAACTGGTCATTTTCTTGTTAGGTTAATAGAGCGGACTTCACAGAAAAGTCACTTTTTTAGATTTCAGATTGCAGTTACGCCCCCTAGCGGCCATTGCAGAAACTTAAAAATATTCTCCAGGTTTTTCTCGTGGCCGTTTTAGTAATTAATTTTTTTACCGCAAGCCTCTACGATGGACAGGTTCTCAGATACAATACCTCGCATTCTTATTTGGCCACCCTGTACACGTAATAAAATTTGAGGCCGTGCATGATGTTGTCCATGAACCGTTGGAAGGTTTATGGCGCGTTGCGTAATCCAAACGGCATGAACCGAAATTCGAATAGACCGAAGGGCGTCGTCTATGCTGTTTTCGGGATATCCTCTTCGGCTATGGGATTCTGATTGTAGGTTTTCACAAGGTCGATTGTTGAAAAGACGGTGTTTCCTGCGAGTTCTTGTGAAAAGTCTTCGATATGCGGAACTGGGTATCGATTTGCAGTCACCGCATGGTCTCCACTCGTTGGATTTCTTCGGAACCAAGAGCCGTGGCGATGCTCAAGCACTTGAGGAAGATCGAGCTATTCCCAATTCTATAATTGTATTGTATTGTATTCTATTCACAGGGGTGCCAAAGCCCCATTGCGACTACCCCTTTTGTTTCGCAACTATGTTCAGAGCTCGTTCCTCTCAATAAAAGATAGGACGCTGCTTAGTTTAAGTTGATTCACCCTCCTCGATTCCAGATATAATAGCTGTCTCCAAGGAGTTTATCTCTGTCTCTGTCACAGTGACAGACCACGTGCTTGGTAGTTTCATCTGCCTCGCCTACCTACACGTGGACTCTTCCACAAGCCCAATGTTATGCAGGTGATAGTTGACCATCCACTGCCCCGTAAGGATACCGGTGATCTTCCTAATCTAGCTTCCACGATTTAGTGAATAATAAAATGGCGACCCATCCAAGATGGCGGATTTAGTGACTAATAAAATGGCGACCGATCCAAGATGCCGCCTAACAAAATGGCGTAATTAAAGATTAATAAAATGGCGACCGATCCAAGATGGCGCCCAACAAATTGGCGGAATCAAAGACTAATAAAATGGCGACCAACTCAAGATGACGGATTTGGTAACTAATAAAATGGCGCTCGATGCAAAATGGCGACCAACAAAATGGCGGACCACACCGCTCATTGGGTGTGACGCCACAGGGGGCGGCCTCTAAAGGCCACGCCTACCGTATCCCGTTGGCCAAGGGGAGGGGCATAGAGGGGCGTGCCCATCTCTGATTGGCTGTGACGTTACGTGCTCGTCCCTATTGGTGTGACGTCACTTCCTGCGTCAGAACAGCTAATTTCCAGTCGATTGGCTTTACACCGATCCTGGTGGCTCCTTTTAGTGGATCCCAAGTTACGTAGTCTCCAGATCCTGGAAAGTGTGTTTCTAAGAGACATGTGAGAAGCTCACCCGCGGTAGACGTATATCTGCCGCATGGAAGGCATGGAGGCCTCGTGCCTATTTTTTGCCCCGGGTCCTGCAAAAGGGGCTTACGTAGTTTTTGAACTTCAGGAAGACGGCATGTTACTACAGAAGGTCCTCAATGATCCTCGTTTAGACCTTCGAATATGGTCCTATACCTGCCTTACTATAGGAGGGCTCGGCTTTGTCGTTGTAATACCTCACTATAGGACAGCTCGGCTTGATCCTACCACCTTTATGCATTATAACCCATCATAGCAGGTATGACGCCACTTGGACCTGAGAAAATTCTGGGGATCGTGAGAAAATATTTCGGCAGTTGGCCGGACCACATTTTGGCGGTTAGGGAAGGTCAAATTTTGTCAATTCGCACGTGCCAAATTTTGGCAGTTGGTCCGAGGTGCCTTATTTCAGAACTTCGCCCGGGGCGCGGAGCCTATTTCGGCATTTGGCCCCCGGGGCCATTTTTGATGCCATATTGAATCCATCGTCTCGGATGCTATTTTGAACCCGCAACTTGGACCCGCGGAGGTTTAGCGAAGAAAAGTGACTAAGCGACGTCCATACAAGGTCCTCTGAATCATGACACAGTAGCATCCCCCATACACGAACACGTCACTACATAGTAATCACACACACTCAGCATACCACTCTGCGTTTTGGTTGTACCTACACTCGCTATGACTGCGACAACACTGATTGGTCTACTGCAATCGATTAAGGTTATGGGCGTCAAGATTGCACCAGCGCATGCACACACTTGTCATGGATGGAGTAATGTTAGTGTAAAGTTCAAAGGTCGCTTACCGTTCAAAGTCCATTTCTCAGCGTTAAAAGTCCAAAGGTTAGTCGCCGTGGAAAAAACTCTGAAAATTGTTCTGTTTGCGGTGCGTGCAAAATTCTTAAACCTTCACAAGTATTTCGATCGTAGTACAAGTTGAACTTGTTCGTGAAGCGACTGTTATTTAGTGCGCGAAAATGGAAATGTTTCTCGTCGTGAAAGACATTTTTTGGCTTACATTGCCAATTCACGAATTCCGACCTACAAATTTGATGAAGAATCCACTTTCAAAATTTCATTGTAACCGATCTATTCGTTTTCGAGAATTCGTGGTAACGGGCAGACGGGCGGATGGATAGACACCGTAAAATTATAAACTCGCTGGGATTTCGTTAGTAAAGCTGGTAGGTACCTAAAGGTACCGAACCAGTACGTTGGGTTAGAAATGATATTGCGCAGCTTGTACAGCGGGGCGTAGAAGGTTTAGCGCCTCAGAACATGGTCGGTTTCTCGTTCTGGTTTCAAGAAAGCCGAGGGATGGATGCGATTCAAGCAGATTACCGAAGTTACTACTAACGATATTTGGGACACCATATCGTCCATATACCAGGGGCCGATCCACGCGAAGGGCAAATGGGAGCTTGAAACTTGTGCGATTGTTTTCAAGAAGACTACACTTGCGGCTGCGGGAGGGGGGGAAGCGGTGTATTTACTAATTCACCACCATTCATACTAACATTGACTCTCCTTAAAAAAAAGATATTGCGGCCTTACTTCCTGCGCTCGTTATGGAGGTAGATGCTGGAACGGACCTGAGGACCTTCAAGATTTTTCCCAAATCGTTCGGGGGATGGAAGTGGCGGTGGAGGTAGAAACTAGGATTTCTTGCAAAAGGTACTGTTGTTTGTCCAAAACGGCACGGCTCCTATCCTGTAGTGCCTGGAAGAGCGGTCCTCCACGTTGCCTTCTCGCCAGATCCTGGATATCCTCAGAAACCGACCCTGCCTTTGGTGGCGAATGGGTTCCTCAACGTGCGGGTGACCGTCTCGACCCTGTATGCCAGGCCCTTTTGGATTCCTCGTAAGCAGCACTCGCGGTTTAGAGAATATAATATAATTGACGTTTGTCGAGCTCATAACTTTGCGCGGCTTAATTATAATTAATCATAATTAACGTTGGTCAGAAGCATAATTTCACAAAGGCTACATTTTGGGTAAACAATAAAGTAATGAACATTAGGAGATGCATTTATTTCGACGTAAGTAGGCCACATACACGTTTGTGGGATTATAAAGGCTACGAACAAATTATTATGTATTAAGTTCAGTTAATGAGTGTTAAATGAAGAGAAATTACTTTGCAGTACTGTGAGTTTCGAACTTCATTAACAGTGTACATTTGTACGAAATTTATCTACGAACGACTTTCATTGCCTGACTGCTCGCCGGCTGCCTTTACTTGTTAAAAATATCAATTCCTTTTTCCACTTCCACTTAAGCTATTGCACACAATCCAATCATAAATGTTTTTCCTTTTAATGAATGCCTTAGTTGCATAACCGAATTCGGTGTACGGCATCATCTATAAACATCATAATGATTTATGGGCCTAGAAACCGTATAGTATCAATACTGTTTTCTAAAAAAGACCGGTCTATTTTTGACATCTTTTGAGATATGAATTATTACATTTTAAAACTGGGTACTATTCACCCACGTTGGTACTTTGAAGGTTTGCCAGACGGACTTCAATTTCTATTGTCTTGGGGGGGGGGGGGGGAATTTAGTAATTCCAGTAATTCCTATTTGAAAGTATCTTTAAAGTCTAAATAAACCCCTGTTTCTAACGAAATAGTATGCGGTTTCTAAGCCCATAAATTGTCATAATGTTTATAGGTCATGACCTCACGGTTATGCGACTAAAACACAATAAAGAGAAAGAAATTACGTTTCGAACGTGAAGAAATGAATATTTTTATTGGAATGGTGGCGGATAGTCGCTTTTGAATATTGTTCGACACTGTTAAAGAAGTTCGAATCTCACAGTGCCGTAACGTAATTTCCTTTCATTTAGCATTTATTAATTGAATTGGATATATAATTTCACTTAGCATTTATAATTTACGAAACCTAGGTTTGAGCTAGTTGCCTCGAAACCTCTACGGAGTAAAGCAATGGAAAAGGTGAAAGAAGGGGTGTGACTTCAATTGATTGGAAAAATGATACATTCAATACTATTTATATTAACAGTAAGGATCCCAAGAGGTTACGTCATTATTTATATTCCATACGATACATATTTAACTCAATATTCTGGAATAAAACGCAAGGCTGTAAAATACAAAAGGGCCCCCTAAGATGCTTCTATTTGTGATTAGTGTGATTAGTATGGGTAAGACAATATGAGAACTCAAACGTTTTCTCGCATTGGTCGGCGATACGCTTTGCGACATCATCGCATAGCTCGAATTCCTCCATGGTGATGAGATTCTCGTTCTCCTGCACTATCGTGGGTCCCACCAGCTCGCCATGGCTGTTCATGAAATCGACATTTTTGTACATACACGCAAGGTAGCACTTCAAGTTTCTAGTTTCGGAGTACATCAGGTCCGACCAAAGCAGCTGGACTTGATCGCGATCGGCTCCCGAGGACTGCACGCAAGTATCGTTTATGGCATCCGTGGTACAATGCCAGAGCTCCAGCGCGTCCAGTGTCGGTTTCTGAAACGTTGAGTTTTAGTTTATGATTTTCTCTCGATGGGCTTACCTCGGAATGATAGAATGACGCATCGATTGAGCAGTAGATCGTAAACAAAAGCGAGAGTCTCAACATGATGAGGTCTTGCAGCTGAAACTGTGCAAAAGTCAATAGGAAATTTGGGGAGGATACTCAACCCCTGTTCATGATCGTGACCAGAGCACGGCGCACTTGATTACTGACAGCTTGGTGAACCATGAACTTAAACGCAGTTTTGTGATGGAACTTTTCTCACTGAAAATAATAGCAGAGGAAAAATGTGTGGGAAATAATCGTTTCCGTGCTAAAACGTTTCTCACGGTCATGTTTTTGTATTTCTACGACATTCGGAGGCGAGTGGAGACGATGATCGAGATATAATGTATTGGACATTAGGTATTAACCCGCACTTGACACTGATTGTAATCCCTTCACGTAGATCGCCTTTAATTTGACCATCTCGGCGAAGTTTGTTTACTCACCTGTAAATTGCCGCATGGTGGTTTTCATATTTTGTATTGGAATTCGCTTGGAAAATTAGCGTGAAGCAGTGTTAAATCTGTGGTTTTACATGTTGATCTGCGAGCAAGGTTGTAACCCTGATAAATTAGAAAAATGTAATTATTCAGTTTCATGTCGTACTTCGTCTCATAATAATAATAATAATAATATATTTATCCAAAAGATCCTAAACGGATATAGGACAAGTCAAAGGCCGGTTTAATAGATTTCTGATCCTTTCCTGGACCCCATCTTCAACCTCATTCCTTCTTACCTCTTCTATACTCTCCTCTAACTTCTGTTTTCCTTGTAGTAACTTGACAAAGTGTTGTTTCCATTCCACTATTTATTTTTCCCTCCCATTGTTCTATTTTTCATTTTCCTCTGTTTATCACATCCAAAAAATTTTTTTCTGTTTTTATTTTTTCTTCGTTTTCTATCTGATTTTTCTATACGTTTCTCTCTCTATCATTTCTTTATATCCATTTTTCTCTCTTGTACATGATCTGTCTCACTATTCCTTTGTTTCTCTTTCTCTCTCTCGCTCTCTCTCTTTCTCTCTATTATTGTTTGTTTGTTTCCTTTTTAGCACTGTCCTTTTTTCCTATGTATTCCCTCCTAATTCTTCTCCTTGTTCCTCTAGTCTCTCTCCATACAGCACTACGGTGCCTTTTGTCCATAACTGTCTCTTCCCTCGTCTGTGCGTCTTTTCATATCTTGATCTTCTTATCTTCCCTTTTCCCATCCCTACCCGTCTTTTTTTTAATTCCTGTTCTGGGATTAAACTTACTTTCTAATATTAACTTCTCCTTCTCCCTTCTCATTTACTATACTTCCTATTGAAAGTGGGTCAAATCCAATGAAGTACATGACTCCCTTATTTATTTTATTTCGTTTTCCTCCTTTCTTTTGTTGTCTGTGTCTGTATCCCGTCTTTTCCTCTTCTATCTCCAAGCTCCGCTCTTTCGTCTTCCGTTCTCTCACTAAAGCTTTTCTTTTGGTACTCCATCTGTATTCTTCATCTTCTACCATTAGTTTCGTACATCCCCAACTTACTTTCTTGCACCTTCCTCTTTCCCTTGACGCAACCTCCCTACGTTATCACGGGACGCTTCTTTCTACACATGTCAACAGGTCACCTATGTATATCCCACTCCCATTTTAACTTTCCTTTTCCCCTCACAAGCTCCCTCCTCATTTCTCATGTTAATTCCAAGATTACTAACTTATTTCTCCCTACTTCTCGCCTACATATTCGCCTCTACTTGTAGGTTTTCGTTTAGCCATTTCTCCCTCGCCCCTCTCCCCGTTTATCCATTATGTTCTTTATTTATTCTCTATCTCTTCTCTCATTTTGTTTCTCAAGTCCTATGTATAAGTTCTTCTTTTTCCTTATCCTATTTCTCTCCCCTTCACTTTATCCTCCTTGTTCCTCCATCACCTTTTTTTCCATGTTATCTATTTGCTCTTTTGTCTCATTTGAATTTAATATTAAACAACCAGAATTCTCTAGCTGAGTTAAAAAAAGTGTTTTACGAACATGGGTGATTTTTAAATATTTAACTGCTCTAACTAAAAATTATGCTAGTTTCAACATACAATATGGCAAATGTTAATTATGAACAAATAAAGCTTTTCTTAGACGTTATCCCACATTAGGATAGAACTTAGTAATTTTATCGCTTTATCCCTCTAACGCTTCTTATGCAATTCGATTTTGTAATTTTCATTTTTTTTTTGCTAGAGCAATAATTGCAATTATTAGTGATGTAGGCGCATTTTAATGAGATTTCGGTGGTTAGAACGGTTAGGGCGGTTTCGTCAAATTTTGAATTTTTTTTAGGTTTTTAGTATTGTGTATTATGAAGTATACGGGGAGTTGTTGTTTCCTACAGAATTATGATACTGGCTGCAGTCGTGACCAATTAACTGCATGGGAAAGCAGATGGTGCCAGTCTGGCGCGAGATAATGCGAGATTAATAGCTTTTACGTGATCGAACGGCTGATTCAGATTTGTTCAAGTTACAACGCAATGTGAGAACGGCTAAGTTTAACATTTTTAAACCCCAGTGGTTTCTCTCTAATGGGTTTTAATATTTTGTTGGCGAAACCAGCAAAGGTGGCCGCTATAATCTATTAACTCCATTTTGGGGCGTGTTAGAAAATTGGCAAAAAGTAGGGAGGCGCCCAAGGGGGCTTTCAGCGCTTAGTAGTCTCGAAGGCGTTAAGACCGTAAGAAGTAATACGGGTATCAATTATGTTTTTTGCCACTAAGATGAGACAAAACCTACATGGAAAGTTCGTGTTTCAAATCACTTGCTTGGAGACAATAAAACAGTTCGAGAAAAACCCGCGGTAATAGTCACGTTTGTAGCCACGGTGAAGCGATTGGTCATAAAAGTTAATTCAAGCGTCGTCAAAGTTGCGGGAAATTGTGAAATCGTGATATAAACCAAAACCAACAAAAACATGGGAGCAGGTATGCAGAGTCATGGACGCGAGCCATTCTCAAGGTCATTATCTAAGATCACCGACCCTATTTTTGGTGTGTCAAATTACATTCTCATTTTAGGGCGTCGAATTACACTCCCGAGGATACAGTTCCAAGGATATTTGAGGTTATTGACCCCATCTTTGGGGTGTCAAATTACATTTCCAAGGTCATGCGAGGTGATTGACGCCACTCCATTTCAAGGTGACCCGAGGCCACTGGCCTCATGTTTGGGGTACCAAATTACATTCCCAAGGTCAGCCTAGGTCATTGACCCCATACATTTCCCAGGTCCTCCGAGGACATTGGCCCCATACGTAACCTTGCGTAGGAGTTTTTGTTATCGGACGAGATTTATGTAAATGTTAGAAGAAATAACGGAAGAAGTAGGCATTCAAAGGTGTGCGCATTAATTCGGCGTAAGTGGGAACGCCTTTTGTCGAAGCTGGCGTTACCAAGGCTAATTATGATTGGTGATTTATCCGTAATAAGCGGAAGAAGGAGATTCACTTTACTATGGAAGTGGTGTTTTGTTAAATACTGCAAGCAGGAGGCTGCAGGCGAGCTGATTCGCGACGGTTGGAAGGCGTACGATTCTTTACGTTACTTTTATTCGGGCGTTCCGCCATAGTTTATTGGTTGAAGTTGCAGTTCGTCATTTTCATAATTTTTTGTACAGTAGAAAGTTAACTGAAGTTGGATGCGTGGATGTCAGTTCACCCTCCCCTCGAAATTCAGAATCCTAATTTTGTTTATTGCTTGCTCACAAAATCTCGTTACCTAATCAGATTCGGTCAGTACCCCAGAAGACAACAAATCAAAACAACTCTCACTACTTTCCCACGGAAAAGTCTTTTAGGTGCAAATTGGTCGAACTATTTAAGAGAATGGAAAACTATTTACTTTGAAGGTAAAGGAAAATGGCCGAATTATTCACAGTAAATGTATTCGTGGGCTTCAATTTCACCAATTAGTTCACAGACCATGGAATTTCGCCTTTATTTCCGAATTAACCTTGTTTTTGAGTTGTTTGTTAAGCAGCTCGGGTGAGAACCTTTATTCAATTTTTTTTCGTTACCTTCGATTTCTTCACTTGTTTATTCAGTGCTCGTTAGAGACAATTTAGTCGAATTCGAGGCGCGTAACGAAATGCTTGCCATCCTCCTCACCTTAGCCGCCTGTCTCTCAGCTGCTACGTCCCAGGTAAGTCCCCGAGTCGTCCTGGTCAGCACGCAACTTGCACATTTTTAGGTGGCCAACGTCGAGCTGATTGAACAACTGGAGCATAGGCTCGACGAAGAGACCACGCAGTGTATAAGATCGACGGATGCGGACCCGTTGGAGGTGGATACGCTCTGGCACACCAGAACGTATACAGAGAGCAGCACTCTGAAATGCTACCTTCAGTGTATGTATCTTAAGCTAAACTACATAAGCGAAAGTGGAAATTTCGCAAGCGACACCATCGTTTCCTCAATTACCAACGCCACCGCCTCCATTGTTAGTGGCTGCGTCGATCAGGCTAGCGGTGCTGTCGACGGATGCGATAAGGTGTACCAGTTTTCGTCTTGTCTGACGAACAATAACCAAATTACTATAATGCAAATATTGTAAATGGACACCCAGTATGTTTAGGTGTACTTCGGGACATGGATTTCTATAACTGCCCTTTACATATAATTTTAGATAACTCGTATTAAAATAACTTGCACTTTAATATGTTTTCCTACTAAGGAACTCGTCATTCGCTGGATTGGCCAACGACGGAAGCTCAGTATTCTATTGACTTAATGGAAAAATAAAGAAAGCACGTAGTTCAAGTTAAGCGTTATGTTGTAAGGAAAAATCTGTAACGCAGTTATATTTGTAAACTCCTGTAATGCGTGTTGTAAAATTCCTACGTTAGATGCCACCAATCCCCATCCGTTGGACGTATCCCTGATCTGCACCAGAAGCGCAAAGAAAATAAATAATGGCAAGTGTAACAAAAAAGCGACTGAATTGCGAACGAATTTAAAGTAAGAGCGACAATGAGCTACGGGCATTATAAAACTGCAAGAGTGTAAAAAGCGACAATACCATGAAACATCCACTCTGTTTTCGTAGATCTTTTTTTAAAAATGGCTTTAAGCTTTCAGACTAAACGCCGAGATCTCGATCGATTTATAAATAGAGCCCGAACAGCTAAGAGTTAGTGAAACAAGTTTTCGCCAACATATTCGTACTATCGTGCTATTCCTGCATCGTTTAGTCTGAAATTTGACACAAACCTAGGCAGATTAAAAGTCTGACAGGGTGAATCGGACCTCCACTCTGCCTAGGTTTGTGCGAATTTACATGAAAACCGGCGCCGAAAGAGTCGAAATTGATTTCGGCAGAAACTTAGACAGACTAGAAGTGTGACTTACCCCATCAGACCATTACTCTGCTTAGGTTTGTGCCGAACTCGCTTTCGGCTCGCTCGGCACTATTATTTTAGTGTGGAAGTTTAATAACAGGTCCATTTTAATAGCAACCGAGCCGAAGAGCTGCAAAGTTGATAGTTTTAAAACCAGTGTCAAGCGAGCGGATTCGACAAAAACCTAGGCAGAGTAAAAGTCTGATTTAGTAGACCTCTACTCTGTCTATGTGTGTGCGAATTTACATGAAAACCAGTGCCTGGCGAGTTGAAGGCGAGTTCGGCGCAAACCTAGGCAGAGTGTAGGTCTGACTTACACCATCAGACCTTTTCTCTGCCTAAGGGAAAACCCTTAAAGACCTGTCAGAATGTCGAATTGCAACTAAGGGCACTCCTGGAGGTGCTGTCTGATGTCCTTAGAAGTCAATACAGTCTCTTAAAGGTTCTGAGAGGCGTGGACAGAAGAAGAGGTTTTATATTTTAAACCTAAAGGCTTAAACCTTAGATGATTTATTTTTAACATGTAAAAAAAAGAAAGAAGAAAGAACAAAGAAGAAACCTATAACTTTCAATGTACAAGGAAACTAAGGAAGGTTTTTATTGTTCTAACGGGACTAGAGACCGGATTTACCAAACCTACTTGCGGGATGGAGGCGAAAGGGATGATAACCAACAGCAAGCGATTAAGAAGATGAGAAGAGAATACGAAGAGAGTAAGAAAAGAGTAAAAAGAAGAGAGTAAGAAGAGTGTAAGGAGTGCGTAATAAGAGAGTAAGGTGAGAGTAAGAAGGGAGTTAGAAGAGAGTAAGAAGAGGGTAAAAAGATGGTAAGAAGAATGTACACATTCATCTAGGTCGTAATTTGGGCTCGATTAATCACAAAACCAATCATTTACAGATGACACAAATTTATTTGACATAAGACAATCAAGCTGAAAGAAAAACTGGCACTCAGGGCCAACAAACATGTACACGCAAACAAGCGATCGATAGACTTAACTATTTTAAAGTGCCAGTAATCCAAAATCTCGGATAATTTGCGATTTTCAAACAAACAGACGCGGAAGCAGCTACAAAACGATGATCCTACGTAACTGATTCGAAATTGACCCTTGAATGGTACACAAAAACACCCCCTAACCGATAGCTTGAAGATCTTCTCTTAACAAGTAGCTCAGGAATTAGAAACCAACATTGAAAATAATCATGTTATTTGTGAAAGAAATCTCATAGGTAGTTTATTAAAGAATTTGATCTAGTTTCGTTCATATGCACACTTTTTACTTTTCCAAATTTTTCAAAAATCGAAGGGGGTACCGTAACGGAAGGAATGTAAATTTCGTTAAATTCATTTTTGCTTCAAATCTTTCTCTTTTCTATTCTTTATTTATTTTCTCTTTTAAATAGTGAAATTTTAAACAAATAAAATCGTTGTACAAAAAAGGAAAAAAAACTGCACTCCTATTAAGTAATCGAATAAATTTTGCTGCACTCCTGGTGGTAGCCGATCTATTGACAGCTTTTTTGAATTTCCCTGTTTTTGGTTTCCAATTTCGCAGACCATTAAATTTAATATCCCCAAAGAATTAATAGCATTTCTGGATACATTAACTACCAGGAGATTAAATGTGCGCAAATGGAACTAATAATTGCACTCGTAGATGTTATTCGGTTTAGGTTCAAGGTTGATACAGTACGAATAAGATCTAAAAACTGCTAGAAAAAATTCGATAGATTTATCGTAATAAAAAGTGCTATCAGATTCCCTTTAATTGGTTGGCATTAGGAGAATAGGAGCCAAGAAGTGAGTAGGTGGCTCCTGCTACCATTGGTCAACCTAACTTCTCTACCTAGTTTGGTTGAAGTGTTCTTGGATTCGACATAGATACCACTCAGGTTTAGTGTAATTTAAAGGTAATGCGCCTGATACAACAAATTTAGATGTGATCAAACTTTTTGTTGAGAGTTTGATGCCAGAGGAAGAATAGGGCGCATGTAGAAGGTAGATATCTCACGGAAAGTGAGCATGCACCTAATAAAAGGAGAAATATTACAAGTTTCGTTTCAGTTGAGGAGTTGAGATAAGAGAAATAATATGGTTCCACTGGGATCCTGCTACAATGAACCTCATTTATCTCTTCTTATACGAAAATTGTGATCAGGTTTGTCTCTGTAATTTACTGATTTCCATAACTCACCTGTGCTCCTGATACAGGAAATCCAACCACTTTCTTTTCATAAAGATTGGTATTAGGTGAGATTTTCGCATAAGAGGAATATGAGGTGGGTGCGGGTAACAAGTAGGTATTATACGAGGCAAACATACTGGTAATTTACTGATATTCTGCATGCAACTGTGCTCCTGCTATAACAAATATGCAATCAACTATCGCTGTGGGCTCGTCTGATTTGAGGTTCTTGTATCATTGGTGTAGGTAACAAGTAACAGACAGGTATTACGCGACTGTAATATAAATAACTGGTTTGCAGAATTTAGCTGTACCCCTAATACGTATGTACAATCTGTGCTCCTGATACAAAGAATTTGATAAATTTGACTCAATTAAGATTTTGGCGTACCTCACATGATTTTCGTACTTTAGAGTAGACTTCAGTTGGCCTATTTACTACTTATGAGTCCCTAAAGTAAACTATGGCTCAAAGAACGGGGACTTTTTTCGTTGGCGTCATAAATTGGAGCAAACTTGGACAAGAAATCAAAGTTCAACACTATAGAAACCTAAGTTTAACCTCTAAAGCCAAAATTTGATACTCGAGACTCAAAACTTTACTCGGTACTCGATACTCAAAGCTCTAAATTTGCGGTTTGGGGCTTAAAACCCGGAACCCAAAGTGTACGTAACTCGACAATAGATATAGGGGACCTGAAAGTTGAAAAACGGACACTCTAAATCCGAATATTCGAATTTCGAAACTCTGACCAAGAAACACTAACTTGGAATTTGAGACTCAACTTCGAAAATGAATACCAAAGCTCGAAGTACCAGTGAAAATCTGAAACCTTGATTAGAAACGTCTAAATTATTCCAGAAAATGGAGCTATAGTGCTGAAATTCATAACAAAACTGAAAGCTTTAAACTCGAAACTGAAAATCGTGATACACGAACCTCTAGTTTGAAGTTTGAAGATAAAAACGGAATTTGAAACTCAGAAGTCAAGCTATACCCTCGAAATCTAGATGTTGTTAGAACATAAATACTTTTTCAACTCGACAAATGATGATGTAAACTCAAAAAACTCCACTAATACCACTTGGCTTGCTCAAACTAACATGAAACTTAAAATTTACTGGGGTCGTGAACACACGTGGCAAATTTGTTTGAATTACCGTAAACTTTAACACAAATGAAATCCCAAACATCACCTATAGCTAAACGTAAACTACCCCTTATAAAATTTAATGTTCGATAATTATCAAAGAAATAAGCAAGTGACACTTGATGCGCTGTCCTTTAAACTTTGTTGACTTCTTTCGCTGTATGCTTTCGCAGTTTTTTTACGTTTGCTATTGGTTCATCACGATCCACTTAATTATTGCGTACACCTGCAAATTTCATACAATTTAAACGTCTTATCACGTTAAATAAAGCAATAGCTTTGAACGCCCATCTGGTCGATATTTACTTTAATCAAGGACGAAATCATCTGTGCCGTGACCAATCTTTGTAAAAAACAAAAAAATTGAGCAAATTGTGTTTTCTCAGCATTTAAATTTATGGTTTATTCATTTACATTGTGTTACTCAGAAGCAAGGAAATTGTGAAAAACGTACTTATGGAGAAGCAGTTGTGAAATTAGTCTAGCCATCGTGTTGTATTATATCAGGTTTTTTAGCGCATTTAAAATTCAAATCATTCATAAAAAAGCTCTTAAAATAAATTCCTACTTTAAGCGCGCGTTGCCTAATTTATAGAATAAAAACCGTGACTCAGCCGTCGTAATTTTAGATTGGCCCAGGCTATCCTTTGTTCACCACAATGATAAAAACGCTCCTGCTGTTGTTCTCAGTGGGCCTTCCGGTCGGTTATGGATTTGTCTCAAACGTAAGTGAAAATCTATGGGATAGAATTAATAACGATTTCTCAGGTGTCTACAAAAGAAGTATTTCTCAAATTCGAAACCATGGCCTACCAGCATCCCGAATGTTTCCAGGAAACGCAAGTCAATGAAGAGGAGGTCGTCCAGTACTTCGAAGAGTTCAAGTTCTCAAACTCGTCTAACTTCAAGTGTTTCCTTAACTGTCTGTACACGAAGTTGAACTTTGTAAAGCCTAATGGTGATCTGGACGGAGACGAGATCTTTAGAACCACGGACAGGACGACCCGGAAAGTAATTGACGGTTGTATTGCACTGGTCCAGTCCGAACCGGATCGATGTCAACGACTGTACGACATGGCCTCTTGTGTCATTCATTCCCAGGATTATGGCGTATAAATCTATGTCTAAAACTTTAACTGTTTAACTGTATACAATTTGATCTATGTAAAACACTTCCTGTAGCGGGCTACTGAAATAGATTAGTGCAATTGAACACTTCTTTCAATATTCTAATATAATCTCATTGTTGAATTTCTTTCTAGGAATATCCGCCCAATAATTTGGTTTATTTCTTACCATTACATAAACAGTCGCATTTGTTTTATGGTCACTTCATTTATTGTTTGAGATTCGCTGGCATACCTAAATTGTTCTTTTTACCCTTAAAGTCACGGAAATGGATTGAATATACGACTATAAAGATTGCCCCAATTTATTGGTATCAAAATTTTGTGGATGTCCTGGCTTGATTACAGGATGACTTTACTCATGGAATGGACCTCCCGTACCACCAGTTGAATTGGTTTGCTGTTTGAAAATTAATTTCGAAAAATGGTGACGCAGTTTGATTCAGGACAAACCGTGCTCTAGGCTTATTCGATTTAATTACTTGCACATTGAGTTAATGACAATGTACCCGTGTAACTGAGGAACTGAGGAACAGCAGACACAAGCTTGCATTAATTGTCTTTAACCGTTTTACCTGTAGCTGTTTTTTCTCGTAAATTTGTTGCACTGTATATAGACGGATTCTCAACTTTCAGTAATACATTAATTTTTTACGTAACTTGCCACTATAAATCTGGCGAAAGGGTATGCTTTGCACCTTAGACCCAAACACTTTCGTAGTAACAATTTGATTAAATGCGAAAGACGGTTCGCTTCCGTATTAATATGGTAACGTTTTCTAATATTCACTTTTGAAAATTATAGCCTCTTTCACGCAATGTAATTCTCTTTCTGCATAAACCAGCCACGTATTATTAATTTACCTCTGCTGGCATCTCATAACAAATTAGAAAGCACCCACGCTAGTTAAACTTGTTTAAAATGGCGGCAGCATCTCCGGATACGTATCCAAGGATTCCTCCACACACAGCGGTTATACGGCTTTCGGTTCGAACTGTGTATTAATGAATCTTTCGCCTTGATTCTCTTCTAACATTTCAGTAAGTTTCCGCTTCTCACCAGATTTTTCTCTCACCTTTTTACTCTAAATACGAAACGACCCCCTTTTTTCTCAACGTAAATCTATAGAAGCGTGCTCGTTAAACTTGCCCGCCTTTTCCTCACGTGCTCAGCTTCTCACAAAATGGAACGAAACCTTCTGACTTTTATCTGCTTGAATACTTGTTCCTTATCTTAAAGTACCTTATTTTTTGAATATTAGTTATGTTCTCTTTCAATATGACTCGGGTGGTAGCCGAGACCAAAAGAGCTTTTTTTAATTTCCCTGTTTTTCGCGGAATACCCATCAAAATAACCTGGAACTATAATTGCTTCGAGATGTTTGCGGTTTAGGTGATCTCGACATACTTACGAATTCTTAATAAAACTGCTAGAAAAAATTCGATAGATTATCGTAATCAATGGCTATATCTCTTCCCTTTAATTGGTTGGCATCCTAGAAAGGAGCCAACGTTGAGTAAATGGCTCCACTACCATACTCTTGTAACTGGCTCTACCTAGAACAACTTGAAGTGTTCTTGGATTCGACATAGATACTACTCACTTTAAAAAATTTAAAGGTAATGCGCCAATACCTTTTGTACGCTATGATCAAACTTTTTGTTGAGAGTTTGATGCCAGAGGAAGAATAGGGCGCATGTAGAAGGTAGATATCTCACGGAAAGTGAGCATGCACCTAATAAAAGGAGAAATATTACAAGTTTCGTTTCAGTTGAGGAGTTGAGATAAGAGAAATAATATGGTTCCACTGGGATCCTGCTACAATGAACCTCATTTATCTCTTCTTATACGAAAATTGTGATCAGGTTTGTCTCTGTAATTTACTGATTTCCATAACTCACCTGTGCTCCTGATACAGGAAATCCAACCACTTTCTTTTCATAAAGATTGGTATTAGGTGAGATTTTCGCATAAGAGGAATATGAGGTGGGTGCGGGTAACAAGTAGGTATTATACGAGGCAAACATACTGGTAATTTACTGATATTCTGCATGCAACTGTGCTCCTGCTATAACAAATATGCAATCAACTATCGCTGTGGGCTCGTCTGATTTGAGGTTCTTGTATCATTGGTGTAGGTAACAAGTAACAGACAGGTATTACGCGACTGTAATATAAATAACTGGTTTGCAGAATTTAGCTGTACCCCTAATACGTATGTACAATCTGTGCTCCTGATACAAAGAATTTGATAAATTTGACTCAATTAAGATTTTGGCGTACCTCACATGATTTTCGTACTTTATAGACTTCAGTTGGCCTATTTACTACTTATGAGTCCCTAAAGTAAACTATGGCTTTTTTTCGTCGTCATTTGGAGCATTGGACAAGAAATGAACACTATAGAAACCTAAGTTTAACCTCTAAAGCCATTTGATACTCGAGACTCAAAACTTTGGTACTCGATACTCAAAGCTCTAAATTTGCGGTTTGGGGCTTAAAACCCGGAACCCAAAGTGTACGTAACTCGACAATAGATATAGGGGACCTGAAAGTTGAAAAACGGACACTCTAAATCCGAATATTCGAATTTCGAAACTCTGACCAAGAAACACTAACTTGGAATTTGAGACTCAACTTGAAAATAATCAAAGCCAAGTACCAGTGAAAATCTGAAACCTTGATTAGAAACGTCTACCCTATAAAATTCATTACCTCGAAACTCAGAACCTCTAGTTAAGCTCTCATCAAGCGAAATCCATAAGGATGATGTAATCAAAAAACTCCACTAATACCACTTGGCTTGCTCAAGAAACTTAAAATTTACAGTAAATTTGTTTGAATTACCGTAAACTTTAACACAAATGAAATCCCAAACATCACCTATAGCTAAACGTAAACTACCATAAAATTTAATGTTCGATAATTATCAAAGAAATAAGCAAGTGACACTTGATGCGCTGTCCTTTAAACTTTGTTGACTTCTTTCGCTGTATGAGTTTTTTTACGTTTGCTATTGGTTCATCACGATCCACTTAATTATTGCGTACACCTGCAAATTTCATACAATTTAAACGTCTTATCACGTTAAATAAAGCAATAGCTTTGAACGCCCATCTGGTCGATATTTACTTTAATCAAGGACGAAATCATCTGTGCCGTGACCAATCTTTGTAAAAAACAAAAAAATTGAGCAAATTGTGTTTTCTCAGCATTTAAATTTATGGTTTATTCATTTACATTGTGTTACTCAGAAGCAAGGAAATTGTGAAAAACGTACTTATGGAGAAGCAGTTGTGAAATTAGTCTAGCCATCGTGTTGTATTATATCAGGTTTTTTAGCGCATTTAAAATTCAAATCATTCATAAAAAAGCTCTTAAAATAAATTCCTACTTTAAGCGCGCGTTGCCTAATTTATAGAATAAAAACCGTGACTCAGCCGTCGTAATTTTAGATTGGCCCAGGCTATCCTTTGTTCACCACAATGATAAAAACGCTCCTGCTGTTGTTCTCAGTGGGCCTTCCGGTCGGTTATGGATTTGTCTCAAACGTAAGTGAAAATCTATGGGATAGAATTAATAACGATTTCTCAGGTGTCTACAAAAGAAGTATTTCTCAAATTCGAAACCATGGCCTACCAGCATCCCGAATGTTTCCAGGAAACGCAAGTCAATGAAGAGGAGGTCGTCCAGTACTTCGAAGAGTTCAAGTTCTCAAACTCGTCTAACTTCAAGTGTTTCCTTAACTGTCTGTACACGAAGTTGAACTTTGTAAAGCCTAATGGTGATCTGGACGGAGACGAGATCTTTAGAACCACGGACAGGACGACCCGGAAAGTAATTGACGGTTGTATTGCACTGGTCCAGTCCGAACCGGATCGATGTCAACGACTGTACGACATGGCCTCTTGTGTCATTCATTCCCAGGATTATGGCGTATAAATCTATGTCTAAAACTTTAACTGTTTAACTGTATACAATTTGATCTATGTAAAACACTTCCTGTAGCGGGCTACTGAAATAGATTAGTGCAATTGAACACTTCTTTCAATATTCTAATATAATCTCATTGTTGAATTTCTTTCTAGGAATATCCGCCCAATAATTTGGTTTATTTCTTACCATTACATAAACAGTCGCATTTGTTTTATGGTCACTTCATTTATTGTTTGAGATTCGCTGGCATACCTAAATTGTTCTTTTTACCCTTAAAGTCACGGAAATGGATTGAATATACGACTATAAAGATTGCCCCAATTTATTGGTATCAAAATTTTGTGGATGTCCTGGCTTGATTACAGGATGACTTTACTCATGGAATGGACCTCCCGTACCACCAGTTGAATTGGTTTGCTGTTTGAAAATTAATTTCGAAAAATGGTGACGCAGTTTGATTCAGGACAAACCGTGCTCTAGGCTTATTCGATTTAATTACTTGCACATTGAGTTAATGACAATGTACCCGTGTAACTGAGGAACTGAGGAACAGCAGACACAAGCTTGCATTAATTGTCTTTAACCGTTTTACCTGTAGCTGTTTTTTCTCGTAAATTTGTTGCACTGTATATAGACGGATTCTCAACTTTCAGTAATACATTAATTTTTTACGTAACTTGCCACTATAAATTGGCGAAAGGGTATGCTTTGCACCTTAGACCCAAACACTTTCGTAGTAACAATTTGATTAAATGCGAAAGACGGTTCGCTTCCGTATTAATATGGTAACGTTTTCTAATATTCACTTTTGAAAATTATAGCCTCTTTCACGCAATGTAATTCTCATAAACCAGCCACGTATTTTAATTTAATGCTGGCATTCATAACAAATTAGAAATTTAAAATGGCGAGCATCTATACGGGATTCCTCCACATTATACAACCTGTACCGCTTCAGAAATTGAATTTGCAAGACGCGACGGTTCGCCTAAAAAATCAATACGCGATCCGCTCCACCGGCATAGATTCTCTTCTAACTTTCAGTAAGTATTCCGCTCTCTCACCAGATTTTTACTCAAATACCTCATCTAATCTAAATACGAAACGACCCCCTTTTTTCTCAACGCAAATCTATAGAAAGCGTGCTCTCGGTGCTCAGTAAACGCAAAATGGAAAAAAGTTCTGACTTTTATCTGCTTGAATACTTGTTCCTTATCTTAAAGTACCTTATTTTTTGAATATTAGTTATGTTCTCTTTCAATATGAGTAAACGGCCCTTCCGAGAATTCTAAATGAAAACTTACCTCAGCTACTAAAAATTAGAGCGGACAGCAATTTCCTTAAGCGGGAAAAGTAAATACTCGAATTCGGTAGCGGTATCTATGGGAAAGCAAATGCAGGAAAGCGAAACAATATTCCCCTCTCCCCCCTATCTTATAATTAACGAAAGGGATAGTAATAAGAATCTTACTTGGCAATTAAGCGGAGCGGTAGAAATTACTGTGCAAAAGCTATAGATACCGTGCGGTAAAACTTAATTTAAAAACATATTTAAACGGTAAGAATGTAGTGGAAACGGCAGAAAGATCTCCTCTAAACAAATGCTTTGCCATGGAGAGATCGACGGTTTACCTGCCGACACAAAGTGTCCTTACGATAACGCTGGAAAATTAAAACTTCTTTAATTAATTACGTCTTTCCTAGATATCTTAAAATTACGGGACTGCTGTCAAAATTCAAGTTTTCTAAGAGCGCATCTAACGGACATTATTCAGATGCTGTTACTGTAACCCACTTAACTAATTCCAGTTAATTGTACTTATCTAAATAGCCGGAATGAAATCTCCGAATTCGGCAGTCTGCCATTAGAAATTAAAATCGATTAATGGGTAATTAACAGACCTAAAAATTATAAAGACTGATTCTCTCTTTCCTGACAAGCAGAGCTTTCGGCGGCTGTAAAAATAATTTAAATGTTCCTACGGGAACGGTTGCAAACGGACAAATTACACACGACCTCTTATTTTCCTTAACAGATTAACCCACGAATTTCCACTTTATAATTCCAACTCCTAAAACAGGAATAAATATCTTCGGAGCGACAATCCTCGTAACGAAGCGCCCAACCTAAAACGCTTCGAGATACCGGGTGTTCATCTATAGAGTGATCACTAAAACTCGTAAACGTCAAGAAGGAAAACGAGTGCTTCTTTACACAAATGGCTCTAGGAAACCAAAACAACTTTGTGAAACCGTCTTTAGCGTTTTCAAATCCATTTATTAACCTTTAAGGGCTCTAAGGGAAAAGTGGTAGGCATGTATATGACAATAGACGGATTACGAGAAGTACAGATCGGAGCCAAACTTTCGTCGGAACAGTACGGCTTCTGGAAATGACGGTCTACTAAAGATGCGCTACCACAGAATGTAGATGAAATACGTTTAGCAAACATGGAGAACTTAGCGTGTTTGGTTGCCTCCCTGGATCTTAAGAACGCTTTTAATAGGCGATCATAAGGGAGGCCGCTGGGTGCGAGGGAAACTGTAGTTGAGCTATCTCACTATGAGGACAGTGACCGCTAAAAAACCATCAGGTGTGATCTACAACTCTAAATCGAGTGTGGGAGTGTCACAAGGGCCTGTTTTAGGACCTCTGCTGTGGATAATAATGTCGCTCAGATTGCAACACGAGAGCAGTGGATGACCCGACAGTAGTGACCCGTAACAGAGCTAATGAAAAATGGACAAGAGCAGTAAAAAAGATGAATAACTGGATGGGGGCACATGATTTAAAGTTGGTACCGGAGAAAACGAAAGTAGTTAATGACAGGGAGGAGAAGTTCTATTCTCGGATTCAGCACTACAATTTTTTGCTTTATTTACTAAAATGGTCTGTAAATAAATGCAAAGTTTACACGTAAGTATGGCCATAATGGGTTATGCACTCAGAAAGCTTAAAGGTCTTCTCACACTGATCTTTCACTTCAACAATTCTTGCGTCGCAGCTTTCCATCATCTCGGTCGTCGCCCTCTCAACGACCTTGAGGAATTCATCCCTATTGAGGGACCCGTCCTTCTTTATCAGGTTATAGGTCTTGTACTCGCAATGTAAAAAGCATTTGAAACTCGCCGTCGGACTCATTTCTAAGCGCAGAAAATGAGCGTCGACCTCCTCTTGCGTGACACCGGTCAATTCGATGCATTCGGGGTGCTCTTCGGCACGTCGTTTTAATTCGGCAAAGATCTCCTTGGTTGTTTTCTAAATTAAAAGATTAGTCAATGGTATCTAAAGGCTAAGGCTAATTTTGATGCTTACCGAAAGGCAAGCGGGTAGTACCGCAATCACTACCAGAAGTATTTTTTGGTTCATTTTCTACTCACAAAGATAAAAACGAATGTGATTCGTAGTACTTTTATATGTACGCTTCAAGGATAGTTACGTCAAGCAATATGTAAGTAGATAATATTGCATTTCACACGTGTATCGTGTGGGAAAACTAAAAACCTTAGTAACTATTATGTCTATTTATTAAGACGTTATTACAAAAATAAAAAAACTCAGGATTACACTTTTTTTTATTATAGTCTCTTGCATAGCGAGCCATTTGTTCCGGCGCCATTCTCAGTACCTCTAGCCAGCACAGTTCACGATGAGAACTACTTTTGCTGAATCTACATTTTTTCCCGTATTTAAGAACCCTCCCTTGTTATAGAGGGCCACCTGAACTAAGTGGGAACAAGTGATTTTTGAAAGATCAATTCTGTGTCGCTAACCGACGTAGGTAGTAGATTTGCTTGAATTAAAGTGGACAAGAATAAAAGCTTTAATTGAAAATTTAAAGTTTATACTCAGTTAGAAGACTCCCGTCACTTAATATTGAACCTTAAATGGAACACTTTTTTGAATTTTCACGCACCAATTTTTGGAAGGACGCGGTCCGTATTGAATACAATCAGAAAAATACACGTTACCTTACTTATACGGCGTCTTAAGTACCACTTGGGTCGTCCAATCTTGGAATGCCGGATTGCCCTATATTTAGGATTTGAGGAATGAAAGTAAAGTTTTTGCTGACGTTAGATCCTGGCTCGTAGCGGGGAGGCGTTGCAACATCCGAACCAATCCAAATGCCCTAGGACAATCTCTAACTAATTTCTTTGTAAAAGAGAATAAATCCTTTGCAAGTTCATTTTTTTTAGTTTGTATCGAGCTGAAGGCCACCAGACGTTATCAAAAGAACCCTTTAATATCTACCGAGATGCCTAAAACGTATTTTTTAGCGTATTATTGATATGTTTTATTCTCTTCCCATTCGTAGCTCAGCTTATAATTGTTTCTAGATTTTTACCCAAACTGCATAAAAGGATGATTTGCTTGTAATTATTAAAGTCTTCTGATTCTTCCGTGATCTTTATATCTTAATGATTAATTAGTCGTTCCACTGTTTAGTCTATTTTGTATGATGATGGTTGCGTTAACTAATTAGCGCCATGTTGTGGTTGTTCTTATTGTGAAAAAGAGTAGGGACGAATCCAGAGAAGAGCGAATTAAAGCATTCGGTTCAGGTCGCTATGCGGTTTTGGGCTCCCAAATGCGGCGTTCGGTTTTTGGACACTTTTCGCACCTAGGCCTGTGGTCCGCAAGAGACGGCTCATGGTGGTGGTCACGTAAGCTATTGAAGCGTCAGATCGATAACTTCCTGCCTCTGCGCTGTGACAAAGGTAGGGGGCTGTTCCCTGACTGAAAACATTCAAATCAGTTATTTGCAAGTACCCCACAAGACGGAGCCACCATTTCGACAGTACTCTATCAACTCAGGCAGATCTCTGGTAGGTGGAGTCTTTTCCGAGACACATAGGAGATAGGCTGAGCAGACCATCAAGTGCCTGATCCGTCCTCGGCCACCTTTAAGCTGAAGTCTTAGAGATACGACATCCGACATCATTCTTCTTAACGAGGAGGGAACCCCCCCCCCCCTTCCCCTGGGTTCCGCTGCTTCGGTTGAACCCTCTCCCATACCTCATCGATACCGATACCAATTGCGAGGTGCTTCAAAATGGTAGCCGTGTCATCCAGGAGCCGGTATAACGCAGCCATCACCTTGGTTACCCTGGGAACGTGCCTCTGAACCTTCCAAGAACCACCATCACAGGGCCTAATAAGAGGGACCGCCCTTTCCAACCAGTTCAAGATCCGTCGGTCCTCGCATTCGGCCACAATGGCACCATGCGTGTTCCAGCGGAACCCAGCCAGCATTTCGTCAACAACTGCATTCAATGCAGCCATAATACACCCCCCCCCCTGAATGATGTCCACCTCCGGATGCGACACCGTAACGATGGCCACCCTGAGCCCCGCCGCAGCGACAGGTCCATATAGTTTTGTGGTCCCTCCGTAACTTTGGTGCTCCAGAACCTCCAAGCTTCTTCTCAGGCTGCCTTGAGCTAGATCCTGGAACGCTTCTATCCGATCTGAGACGCTTGGTCCCTGACCTCGAGTTGTCCCTCTGAGCCAACGACCCAAAAACAAACGTTAGGCTTTGACTCACTTGGACCCGAGCCGGCGCTTTCTGGTCATCGTCTTCTTCTTGCGAATAATAACTGGCCCACTACAAGGGTCTTGTATAAGGAGCCTCCTCCGTTACCGGATCCCTTTTGAGCCCGCCCCTCCCCTGACGAGGAGCCCAGAAAGAGGTCTACTTGAATAATTGTCCACCACTGCTGCTAGCACTTTGACTTAAGAAGTTAGTCCGCGACGACACTGCTACTCGCCACTACCCAGACCGAAACACGAGTCATTTGACGATTATTTAGAGGTCTGTGTAGGCGTCCCCGTATCCACCACCCGGGGACGCACCCGCTGGTTTCAAATGCCGCTTTCCATTTCCTAGAATCGGTAATTAGAAGGCAAACCGGTACTTCCAAGGTGGGACGATTAGATTCGAAGTCTTACAAGTAACTTATTGGGTATTGCGTATTTCTATATTAAATACAGATCGTGTGATCCACCAAACCCTTTTTGGATAGTAAAATTTTGAGTAGTTCGAACCGTGAAAATAGAGACATCCTCGAGCAATTCGATGTAATTACTTTGTATCTGTTTGATATTGTGAAGACCATTGTAAATGAAATTCGGTTAAATGACGTTTTTTCAGTTTAATATTAAATAACGAAAGTCTTCTAACTGAGCCGAATATGTAAATTATAAATTGTCAATTGTTGTGTAAAGAAGAATCTGCGACATTTCGTCGTCCCAATTTTTTGTCAATTAAGGGGAGTGTTAATGTCAGCAATAGAGAAGGTGGGCACGTATTCTTTGGTAAAATTTTGGAAACTGGATCTTTTTTAAACACGTTATGATTTATTTGTTTGGAGCCGGTTGAAATCGACGATGGATCAAAATTGAAATTTGTGACAATTTTGGTAATTATTTACTATTGATGTAGTGTAAGGCGGAAGGGTCAATTTTGGTTTTAAGTCTAAATTTTTAATTTTTCAAAATATCACTATGGTTACGTAAACGTATACAGGATATTTCCATTATAGGGTTGCCTATATTCGAAAAGTATCTTAAATACGTTAATTAGGTCTACGTGACCAAAACTGCGGATGTATAAATAATTGAGAATTCTTATTTCACTGCAAGTCTTGGGAAAAGCCCGTTTTGAACGAGCTTAGGGTTTTGAGTTGTCACTAGCTCTCCTGTAATTTGTTATAAGAAACCAATCAGATCAGTTCATGAATAAAAATGAACGATTTCATTCATAAAGTGTAATTTTTTGGGGTTGATTAATTAGAAAAATTCGGGAAGTATTCAGTTTTGGGCCGCGGGATGAAAATGCAAACTTTAATACACCGCACTATTGGACATTGCCCATGCCTTCTATTAAATGCATCTAAATAAAAAGATGTGAAAATTACCTGACAAAGACCTGTGCTATCACACGGTCATCGTGAGATTTTTACACAAACAACACTTTTTTGCTTTAATTCCCAAAATGGCACCTTAAATGTAAACATGGCGATAATGGGTTACACATTCAGAAAGCTTAAAGGTTTTCTCGCACTGGTCTTCGATTTGAGCAATTCTTCCGTCGCAGTCGTCCATCATCTCGGTCGTCGCCCTCTCAATGTCCTTGAGGAATTCATCCCTATTGAGGGACCCGTCCTTATTTATTAGCTTAAAGGCCTTGAATCCGCAATGTATGAAGCATTTGAAGCTTGCCGTCGGACTCATTTCCAAGCGTAGAAAATGGGCGTCGACCTCCCTTTGCGTGACATCCGTCATTTCTTGGCATTCGGGGTGTTCGTTTTCCAGGCGTCGTTTCCATCCCCCAAAGATCTCCTCGGTTGTTTTCTAAATCAAATGATTAGTCGATGGTACAAGTCAATTTTAATTTGGTGCTTACCGAGAAAGATGCGGGTAGTACCGCAATCACTACCAGAAGTATTTTTGGGTGCATTTTCTACTCACAAAGATAAAAACGAATGTGATTCGTAGTACTTTTATATGTACGCTTCAAGGATAGTTACGTCAAGCAATATGTAAGTAGATAATATTGCATTTCACACGTGTATCGTGTGGGAAAACTAAAAACCTTAGTAACTATTATGTCTATTTATTAAGACGTTATTACAAAAATAAAAAAACTCAGGATTACACTTTTTTTTATTATAGTCTCTTGCATAGCGAGCCATTTGTTCCGGCGCCATTCTCAGTACCTCTAGCCAGCACAGTTCACGATGAGAACTACTTTAGCTGAATCTACATTTTTTCCCGTATTTAAGAACCCTCCCTTGTTATAGAGGGCCACCTGAACTAAGTGGGAACAAGTGATTTTTGAAAGGTGGATAGTTACGCCACGAAAAATTCTATTTATAAATATAATGAAGCTAATATTGCTTTTCTCACACATATCGTGTGTGAAAAAATTAAAAGCCTTAGTAACTATTACGGCTATTTATTAAGACTGCCAAAATTCCGGTACAAAGTCCAGAAAAATGTAACCATTACGCAGGTATACTTGTGTCCACACCCTTTACTTTTTACCCTCTTTCATAGCGAGATGTAACCTTGTTCCTCGTTGAAATGTGTCACCACCACCCAAACTTCTATTCTAAGTCGCTAACCAAGTGAGATGGTAGATTTGCGTTGATTAAAGTGGAATTATCGACTTTTGTCGGGACTTTATGTACAAACAGCGATTACACTGGAAATAGTTATTTACCTAACAAGTTCGGTAAGTTAATTTTCCCGCATGAGCACTCTGTCGGTCGTGCTGCATTTAGTGCGAATGCGGGAAAATTCTTTCCGAAAGAGTTAGGTACAATATTTTTTGTAACGAATTGCGTAAAAAAAAGGTCAAAATTAATAGTTTTGTAAATTAGTTTTTTTTAATCATGAGTTGGTAACACAATCATATGTTTGGTTGGTAACATAATTTTGTAACTACCATTGCACTGGTCACATTTAAAACTTCCACATCTTTGGTTAATACATTTTTTGCCTTTGCAATGAGTGCTACTACTGGTCACGGCATTGCATCGTTTGCACTAAATATCCTTGGAAGTCTTCAATGTTAAGAAATATGCTTTGAAAAGAGTGCTCTTATTGGTCGCGTAAGTGTACCGATCGTATTTAATATTCCCAGAAGACATGTGTGAAGAAATGTGTTCTCAAATTTGATTTATCTTGAGTTGCGTAAATACACTCGTTACATTTAAAATCCTTGGAAGCTTTGTGTGTGTTAATATGTGCTTTTTTAAACTGCATAATATGCGAATAGTTGCGGAATATCACTGGTCACATTTTAAGACGTTTTAACAATAAATTTTACTTTTTCTTGAGTTCCAATTCTGGAAAATAATTTGATTGCGTTATAAGTTCTTGTTTATATATTTACGTAAAACTTACTGTACGTCTGTTTCCGATTAATCGCACTAAATACCCTCAACCAACGGTTTAATTGATTTTACAGCAGATGACAGTTAACCATGACATGACGTTCGTTGACTTCAATAAGTATTACCAACCGAAGAACGCGCATAACCCCTTCTCTCCAGCGGAAACTAAAAACACCGCGATGCGGGAAAGTCGTTTTCCCGTGCATCGAGGATGCTTGGAAACATTATCTTTCCATTCAATGAGTATAAAATAATTTTATAGCAGCTGCGTTCAAGCAAAATAAGATATCTGCAACAATTTAATTTCATTGAAAACAATAATAAAACAGTTTTATACTTGCTCTCACGAATAGCTAAAAATAGTATATTAAGATACAAGTGTATAATCAAGTCTTTAAAGCACGCGCAACGAGTTTAAGGGCACGACGCAAAGCGGAGTGCCTTTAACGTTGCAAGTGCTTTAAAGATCAATTATACACGTGTATCTTATAGTATTTTTTATTATACCTGCAGTATAATTTAAAAATAGGAAATACAATGAAGTCATATTGACGTTATACTCGAATACATGTCTAATTAAGTGGGCTGGGTGTTCGTAATTTCACGATTGCCATGAAAATGTCACTTGACGTTTGCTTATAAAAATCATCGTCTTTGTGAATTAAACGATTTCCGTTGAAAAAGATAATCCATTAAATCGATTGTTGTAAAATCTAAACAAACGTTGGTAGGTGTAAAATCCAAATCCAGTAAAGCCTATTATAAAGAATATGAAAAGTTGTTTCCATGGATGAATAGGAAGTTACTTACGAATACAGTCTTAAATGCATCCATAATGCTAGCATATATGAAGGAAATGTCAAAGGTATTTAAATATTCTATATTTTGGTGCATTCATTCAAAACTTTAAAGCAATGCTGCGATTAAAAAGTGGAACAAATTTGGAAGCATACCCTAAATTACGCGCGTTTGTGAAAGCTTCAACCAAAGGATAGGTACAAAAGCCAAAGAAATGTTCTGCATTTACAGAAAGCGACCTAAGAGGATTTTTTATTTCATCCAGATGACAGTTTCAAAAGTCATACTTGAAGTATCGTTACTTAGCAACTTTAAAGCACGTGTGTTTTAAAGGCCCTTTTTCGCACGCATTTGAGTGTTTAAAACGGAGATTGTGATTCAGGTATAATAAAAAATGTTTTATAAGTGTATCAGTTATGACAAATAAGTTTTAAAAGCTTTTATAGAGCTTTTATAGAATCAATTTGTTCTATACACCAAAATGTCGTATAAGATTGCTGCGTAAACGTTTACAGAACCACGAAATATTAATTCCCTAGAACGTTGTATAATATTGTTCTAAGAACGTTCTTATAACAAGTAAAAAAACAATGTTGTTCCGAACAGCAAAATAGAAACTTTATCCGCCATTACAAAACAAAATTGCTCTTCGGGAGCCACAATACAATGTTAATAAAACAAAACAGTTATTTTATTTTAGAATTATAGAACAACTTTGTTAGTTGGAAGATACTTACTCTTAATAGTCTTCAGAGCGCCACCTAGCTTCAACATTAATTTCTCAGCCAGCCACGGAAACGAGAAACTGCAGCGTAGCTGAATAATTCAATTTATTCTCGTTAAAGTGGTACTCTGGTGCCTCATAAACAAAATTTAAATGCTCTATATTATTAACATGCAATTAAATATTTAAAAGTGATAATATCTTCCCCATGAAATATGTATAAATTCTCCACAAATTATGGATATCAAAACCCCTGAAGATACGTGACCCGCTCTACCGTTAGGTATAAGAAAGAAAAGAAACAATGTATGAAATAATAATAACTAATTACGATCGAATCATCACTAAAAAACTATGCAGACCTCCTGACTGGAGTTTAAACAAAATAACTTCGACCATCGATCGATATGACAAATTTTACAGTCGGAATAGTTTAATAAAGTGCTTTATCCCCTTAAAAAGAAAAACAATGGTAATGGAAATTCGAGACGAATGGATAACTTACAAATGGAGTGATTTAACCGGACCCTATGAAATGCAGAAACACGTCTTCCAAACAAATCGGGATCCACTAGGTTTAATCGGCATGGTTTCGCCTTGCTTGCTTAACGTGTCGAACTAACCCGTTCTGGCGGTAGAATGCGGAAAAGGAAATTGGCAATGAAAAAAGAATGCGCGTTGAGGCCTGCGTAGAAAAGTCCAGCGACAGGTGGCGCCATAATTTAGGTATGACAGTGATCGCAAACAATTAATTACAGTGACTGTAAACTAAAAGTAACCAATGGGTACTTACGAAAGCGAACTGTTACACATGTGATCGTCAGGGGAGAGATTGGACATTTTTTTTTTGAAAGAATCGTTGCAGTCTTCCATTAGTCTCTTATGCAGTTGGTGACCAAGTCTGTTATAGGAGGTGGTCTTGTCTGCGTTTTGTTCTCTGCCATTTTTTTAGGTTCTGCGCTTCTCGCTAATGAGACCTTGGACATGGCGGGGAATTGTGGTGGTGTCAGGATTGCTCCGTATCGGCTTGTACTTAGATTTTTGAGTTGCTTTATCCAGATCTTGTGGTTCAGTAATTGTAATAGGCTAATATTTTCTTCCAGCTACGGGAATGATCCCAATCCGTACATTTATTACAGAGCATTATGGCGACTTCTTTGGTGACTTACGTTGCGCTGATGGCGATCGAAAGATAGCTTTTTGTTAGCTTCTGTCTTTACATAAATGTTCGCTATACCACTGGGGATTGCAAAATCTACGAGGCCTGGTATTTTATTTAGGTCCCCTGGCCAATTTTACACATAAGACCACATTGTATCTTTTTCATAATTTTGCTTGCCGGTGCTCATTTTATAGACCTACAATAAAGCTTAACTAAACCTAATGACCGTCGTTAAATTACACTTACAAATTATAATTTTGCAACTCTCCCAAAGGAAAACCGATTTGGCGCTATAATTTATTCTAAATTGTCGCATATAGGCCGTAGGCTAAAGAAACGTTGGTTGGTCACGCAACCGATATTGGTAATTATGTCAACTTGACGTACCTAACACTTTAAATGCCAAATACTTACATTAATTTTTATTCATAAGTATCGTGTTAAAGTGGGTCAACGATGTGTAGAAATGATACAAAATAAAAAACGGAAAATTCATGAAAAACAGTGGAACGGGTGGAGACAACAACTTCAACATTGCTCCCAGTTAATTGAAATCTAAGTTAATTACTATAGAGCTGTTTTGTATATTTGAAGCAATTTACCTACAGATAACCCACTCGCAATAAACCTACAACAAAAGCTCTGCACGTTGTATAATATAAAACGTAACACAGAGTTACAGTTATAGAGGACGTAAAATAATACACACGAATACTTCTGAAATGCAATTCCTCCACAATTTCCCTGAATAATGTAAGCATTGTATTAGGAATGCCTTTGTGGTATATTCTGCAAAAAATTATTTGAATGTACCCTGAGTGTATAATCCAATTTTTCAAGCACATACATTTCCTTATTTCTGCATAACACATATAATGTAGTGTTCACCCCTTGTAGGTATGTTAAAGGGAAATTGGAACTACTTTTTTACATTGTCAAAACGAGATATTTTCCGCATACCATGG